AGACCATTCTCCCTTGTCCTATCACTCATAAACAGCCATTCCCCCTCTTGTTTATACGCTCCCTTCAAGTACTGGAAGGCCACAATGAGGTCTCCCCGGAGCCTTCTCTTCTCCAAGCTAAACAATCCCAGTTCCCTCAGCCTTTCCTCACAGGAGAGCTGCTCCAGCCCTCTGACCATCTCAGTGCCCTCCTCTGGACCCGCTCCAAGAGCTCCATGTCCTTCCTGTGCTGGGGGCCCCCTGCAGATGGGGCCTCACAAGAGCCGAGCAGAGGGGGACAATCACCTCCCTCTCCCTGCTGGCCACCCCTTTTTTCATGCAGCCCAGCACACAGTTGGCCTTCCGGGCTGCAAGCGCACACTGCTGGCTCATGTCCAGCTTCTCGTCCACCAGGACCCCCAAGTCCTTCTCTGCAGGGCTGCTCTCAAGGTGTTCTTCTCCCAGTTTGTTTTGGAGTAGCACTCTGCCATCCCTACAGGAAGGGTGAGGGAGAGATGTTCTTCAAGCAACCCTTCAAGCAACCCTCTCCCAGTCAGATGGGAGGAGGTGACCTCAGAGACAGTGAGGGATGGAAACAAGTCCTTGTTCGGGGCAACAAGCAGACTGCCTCTCAGCCTGTCCCACCTTCCCAACTGCCCATACATAACAGGTATGAGGCTCTGGAGCTGGAGGGACAGGGGGCTCCCACACAGGAGAGATTGCCCAGGGCTAGTCAGGCTGCTCCCCGTATTGCTACAGCATCAATCAGGAAAAAAGAAGGGCTATTATCATAGGGGACTCCTTTCATAGGGGAACCTCGGACCTGATACACCACTCGGATCTGTCCCAGAGGGAGGTGTGTTGCCTGCATGTTAGCAAGGCTTTAAACTAGATAGGATGGGGGAAGGGGATGTACTTGGTGACAGAGAAGAGCGTGGGAACACTGCCACCTTGGGAGGTGGAAGGGGGAAAATCCCTTGACTTGTTCTGGAGGTATTAGTGAGGGCTCCTCCGAGAAGGCAACAATTATATATTAAAATATGTGTTTGAAAGTATCAGCCTAAATCAGATTCATTTCTTTGGCTGTTGTGGTTTCAGCTGAGATAATTTTCAGTGCTGTGTTTTGGACTTAAATGAGAATTATGTTGATAACACAGCAATGTTTCAGTTGTTTCTGAGCAGCGCTGCACATGGCCAAAGATGTTTCAACTTTTCATGATGGGAGAACAAGGAGCTGGGAGGGGACAGTTTAGAGCAGCTGACCTAAACTAGCCAAATGGCTGGCCAATACAGCATGACTTCATGCTCAGCAATAAAAGTAGGGTTTGGGGAGCAGCTGCTGCTTGGAGAGATTGGCTGGGCATTAGTAAGCAGGTGGTAAGCAATTGTTTTGGACATCACCTGTGTTGTGCATTCTTTTTGTTGTTACTGGGGGTTTTTGTTTTCCCTTACCTTCCCTTCCAACTCTTGCTTATTAAATTGTCCTATCTCAATCCAGTGAATTCTTGCACTTCCCAGTTCTCCCCACCATACCACTGCAGTGGGGAGCAAGTGAACAGCTGTGTGGTGCTCAGCTGCCTGCCAGGTCAAACTGTGAAACTGGCGTAAGAGAAAATCTGAAAATCCATCACGGTGAAGATAATGTTAGATAGACAGAGTGCCCTTTCAGACCACTTGCAAAAACAAAGCTGGGATGTGGGTGTGCTGCGCATTGGCCTGTTTGCAAGGTGTGAACTTTCTAGGCTGTAGTTTTGTCACTAAGGGAGGAAGAGAAGTATCAAAACAGTGACCTCTGGGCAGCCCTGTGAGCGTTCATAATGGGTAGTGCCAGAATCATTAGTTTGGAAGGCTTCAGTTCATTCTCCTGCTGAGCTTGTGATGTGAGCAAAGCCAGAAAGAAAAAAAAAAAGCCATCAGGAGAGCACAACAAAGCCTGCAGGCAGTGTGCAGCATAGGCAGCATGGAAATCGACCTTGACAGGAGAGCATATTGTGGTTCTTCAAAAAAGGTAGGCCTGGCACACTACCCCATCTGGTGGGAGATGGCATACTGGGCAAAATGGATACACGTGCTCATAAATGCTATTCTTTTTTCTCCTGTTGCTGTAATATTTAGTTTCAACTTGCTACATAAGAAATATTCAACTTCAAGCATGCTTTCGGTCACTTTATCACTGACTTGTAAAAGAAAGACAGAAGAGCTCTAAATAAGGGCTGGTAGGCAGCAATGATGGATGCAGATAAGGTGATAACCAGTATTTTCAGTAGGAAAATAAGAATGAAGCAAAGACCAAGCATCAATAGCAAAGCAAAACATCACTGAGGGGAAGCCTAAAGCAAAGAGAATAAAATGTCGAAGCAGCAAGGAGTAGTCTAAAGAACCAAATTTATGGCCATATAAAAGCAAGTTTGATTTCCACCTTACCCATTGCAGACATCATTCCCAATCGTAGCGTAGATAACTATGGCTGGATTGTCCAACAGTTGGTTTCTGGCCAAGCTGAAAGGTAAATCAGCAGAATATTAATGGGAAATACATCCTCAGTGCCTGAATCACATGCTGTATGAGTTCATGTTTGGAAGTAGTTTGTTCAGATTTTGCCAATGCTCAGATGACTATCGTTCTAGTTTTTTTTTGTTTTTTTTTTTCCCCTTTTGCCCCTTATGGATTTTTCTCTTTCACTGCCCTTCTTGCTGGCTTTGTATCTCTGTACTATTCAGAAGCCAAATCAAGTAGTTTCATTTCGGGGCAAAGACATAAATCAAGCTGTGAAATTTTTAATTAGAGATGGGACAAGACTGTATGTGTGGCTGACAGCTACATTTATGGATGGGATTGAGCACAATATCAAATTAGGATGTGCTTGAAGTTCAGCTCTAGAGAGGAATGATTCATTATTGTTTGCTTTTTTTTTTTTTTTTTTTTTTTCTGCAGGGGAGAACTGTAAATCTTTCAGGATTGAACTGCATCAGCATACAGAAGGCTAACCCTAACCCTGACCCTAACCCTAAACCAAACCCAACCATTCCATGGCCATCAAATTCATCTGAAAAGGAATGATTCTTCCTCTTGCTGTCTGGTAGCTACTCAGTTGTATTCATCCAGGGATAATACTCCAGGGATGCCCATGTCCATCACATTGCTTCTAATCAGGAGCAATGTGGTCAGTGAGACCCATAGGATAGATATAAGTAAAAGCTCAACCTTTTCCTGAAATCCATGGAAATGCCCCACTGGCTTAAGATCAAGGCCTTGGAGTTGGTGACATCCATATTTTAAGAGTTTTTCCTCTCTTAATGAATGTTGGTACCACAGAGGAAAGAGACAGCACTTCAGAGCACAGTGACCACAGTGCTTCTCGAGGCACTTGTGGATAATGCATTGACTGCACGGCCCTGCTGCTTCCATTTGAGGGTGTAGGACCCCACACACCCTTCTGTACCTGCAATCAGCATTCAGAATCCCATCAAAAACTCACCTTTTTATTAAACTGAGGAGATTTCGTGAAGAACCACCTGGTCACATGCAGGGGGAATAAGAGGAACAGTAAATATATAATTACAGGGACAAATAAAGGGAAAAGCAAAACCCAATTCACTGCACATTTCTAAGAATGTAGGAATATTAAAAATAAAAAGGGAGCAGCAAATGCCTCTGTAACATTCTTGTGTGCCAGCATTAGGAAGTAAAGCTGCATCCAGTACCTGCTGACTCACCTGAGTTCACACATCAGACCATAGAAAGTCAGATACGTACAAGTGTTGGGTTGTTTGGATCTGGCTTTTAATCTAGATCTGGCAGCTTCTTCCCATCTGTTGAACATAGTAGTCTCTTGTAAACCAGCCAACCTGACTTGTCAACAGTTGATCTACTTTTAACTTTTCCTATAAACTGCAAGAGGAACTGTTCTCACTCTCCTAAGCGTCTCACAGCTATGTCACACTGGGAGTGATTCAGGTCCTAAACATAGGCACCAAGAGCCATTTTTGACATCCCAGGGTACCCAGGATGCCTGCAGCAGGATTGGCAGATACAACACAGGATGCCTGTGAGATTGTGCACTTCTGGAGAGGCAGCTGGTGGTGGGAAAGATTCTGTAAAGACACTCTGCTTTGCTACAGCAATAGGCACCGATGTTGGGGTGTTTGCATCGCTCCTGCCACCAGTGGCAGACTTATGAAAAATAGTATTAGGCCAGCTGCAACCCTCCATAAAAGCTCTGCATTCATTAGCAATTCACCCAAATGGTTGGGCGCAATGTTTTCCTCCTCTGGGAAAAGAACCAGCTAAACCTAAGCATCTGTAAAGGTCTGCTGCATTTCATTTATGCCTCGAATAAGAAAAGCATTTCCCAATCAAGAGAGCTTTTATGCATAAAACTTTCTAGCAGGCCTTCAAAGGCTGTGTGTATGCATCCCAGCCGTCCACAGCACGCAAATCAAACTCCATCACCTGCAGAGCAGGGATGGCAGCCAAAAAGCAGACAGAAGAAGCATGGTGCTTTGTTCAGGATTGGACGGGACTGAGAGCAAGCAGCTCACCCACTGCATGATTCAGGATCATGAACTTCAGAAGAGAAGGCCCTATGCATTGTACTTGCTTTTATTTTGTCATATTTTCACTTTCTCTCCTCTTTTCTCCCACTTCTTGTATTACACTCTGCTCAGCTCCTCCCTGCTCTCTCCTTTTTTCCGCATACTGCCTTGAAGCTTGCTTTGAGGAGCAAATCCGGTCCTCCTGTGGTTTGCGGGTGGAAAGTTGTGGGCAGAACATCATTAAATCTCCGCTGGACTGGTGTTGTGAAAAGATCTAAGAGATAAACCCCTAAGGTAGCAATAATACACTTTGCATTTGAATAGAAGTGCCTTTGTTACTATCGCCAACTGCATATATCACAAAATCCTTTATGTTTTAAATAATCCAGTTCTTCCAGGCTAAAAATGAATGTCTCTCTCTGCTGTGTCTCTCTTGAGGGTTGCTAGTCCAAGCAAAATCCACTTCTCCTGTTGAGAAGCCCTTTTCAGCAGAATAAGAGCTCCACACAATCCTTAGAAAACATGGCTTGGAACAGAAAAAACACTAGCTGTCTGGTTTTTTTCTGCTTAATATCCTTTCAGCAAGAATTCAGCATCTCTCTGTTAAGCCACTCCGCCACATGACTCCCTGAACTGAGGCTACACTGCTAGTGCAAATAAATTAATTGGGATCTCTGGAAATTAAAGACGTATTTGCAAAAGCTAAGAGGCTCATCTTGGGTAGGTGCTACCTCCATGAGAGTAAATAGTGAAAAGCAGCTCAGCGATAGCACAGTTATAAATCAAGTCAAAAGACTGAGAAAATGAAGGGCTTTCATAGGGAGCATTTTCTTATGGGTAAACTGAGTTATTAAGGAAGTTTTTATGATCTAGGTAGGATGCAATTTCTGATGCAAACATTCAAGAGAGAAGAAAGAGATCAGGCAGAACAATTATTTGAACTTCTGCTACCCTTGCACTGCAGAATGACTGCCGTCTCCTCCTGAACCTCTCCTCACCTCCCCTTAGTAGCTTTCCAAACATTTTCAGACTGGTGGCACTTTTGATGAGGAGTCAGGGTTGGTTTTACTTCCACAACCCCAAGTTTCACAAGCCTTGAAATTCTCCTAAGGCGTGCTTTTCTTGGTTTGCTTGCTCAAGCCCTTGTATGGCTGACAACGTGCAGTATGGACCTGCACAGATAGAGTCTGGGTCCAGATAGCACTAAAAGAGCTGCATGGCTAAGAAAGGCTTCTGCTTTCTTATCTTTTGCTCCCTTATGCTGTGAATGCAATTAGAAATGCAATAGTGTAAAAGAAAAATAGTTTCTGATTTTCCCCGAGTGAACTGTGAACACAGTAGAATTTCTAAGAGCCAAAATCTGGAAACCCCACAAAACCATTATTCTTTCTAAACTGGTTTCAAAGCCACCGTGAGGCACCTGGTTCTTGATTGCTCAGAGAGCCATGGCATGTGTTAACATGGCTGATTTTTTCTCATCAGAGGCAAAAATCCCAAAGAGACAGATCAGACTATGAGTGGCAAAGTAATACACAATATAACCATGATCTTTAACGGTGTACAATGTCCAATGGAAAACATGGATGAGAATCACAGAATTGTTCTGTAATTATTTAGAAATTCTTTAGAAACGAGGGTGTTCACTTTCTCCGTGTTTACTTAGTGATACTTTGGAATATTTGAGCAAATTATTGTACAGAACAGGATGCTTCTATCAAAGGGGTTTCTACATGTGCTGGGACACATTCCAACTCCATGTCTGAGCTTCCAGACCCAATTCTCACATCTTAGGATTAACCTTAGTCAGTCAAAACCCAGAAATAACCTATGGACTGCAAGCACGTGTGAAGATGCCGCAAGTCAAGACACCAAAATCATACTGAAAAGGATGAATAAAGAAATTAAAATGTTGATGGAGAACATTGATTAGGAGTGCGAACTGGTTGCTGTGCATTCACAGTTGGCCCACAACTCCAGAACTTCTCTCTTTCATTACATCTCTCTGGGGCAGCACTGTTTTTGGAGGAAGGATAAGTTCCCCCACCTGGCGCTCAGTCAGGCTGGTGGTCAGTTTTATTTTCACTGATACCAGCAGTGCCAATGGAAATCCTCACATTCTGTGAAACTATTATGCTGAACAAGGCAAGAAGAGCAAACCTTTTACAATATTGTGTTCGATGTGATGATTAAGAGAAGATACCAAGGGAAGATCCCCTGGGATTTTTCTATCACTTTTCTAATTTTTCTCCTTTTTAAATTCCCTTCTCAATTTTCTTCACATCCTTTTGCCTTGTCACAGGCTCCTCTCCTTTTGCATCACGTAGGAGTCTGCAGTGTAAGTATGAGAAAGAGAAGTATGAAAAGGAATGGTGCATACAACGAGATCTCTTTTTTAATTATTTTTTTTAAGTTTGTGAGGGAATTGGGAAGATAGAAGAAAGGAAGGCACATCTATTAACTCAAATAGAGGAAAAGGTGATAGGTTATCAGACACTGAGGTTAACTGGATATAAATGAGAACGGTTGGCCTCCTCTAATTTGGCCTTTTTTTATTCCTTCGCCCAAAAAGTTATCTGAGGGACAGTGACCATGAATGCCACCAACTACAAATGCCAGGTGAGTAGGTCAGGAGTACCTGTAAGCAACCATGACACCGAAAACACAGCCAAAAAGACCCAAAGTCTCTGAAACATCCCACGTGCATCAAGAAGTAGGAAAGCATACAGAGGCATTGCCAGTGACAAAGGTGCTGGCATCCAAAGGGAACTTCTCCAAGGGAAAAGCCCAGCTGAATTTTGAAGGGGAGCCTTGTCTCATGCTGCCTGTTGAGAAACTTATTCCACCCAGTGAGACAACTGGCTGTTGGGGTTGGGGGCATTTAGCAGTTAGCAAGTTTCTAGATAGTATTAGGGACAGCAGTGCTCCTCACGTATGGCCATCAGGACTCAGGTCAGTGAGGGGAAATATCCCTTAAACTAAATTATCCACCCAAGGAGAACAATTTTTTCCCTCATTTCTGCAGCCGGATTTCTGAAGCACTAAAATTAATTAAATACAATGCAAACAGAATGTGATAATAGCAGAATAATCAAGTATCTTTTAAACATACTGCTGGGAAAATCATTTAGCCCAACGCAAAACAGCTAACATAATAAACCTTAATTTCAAAGGGAGATTGCCTTGTCCCTTCAAGATAGCACAAATATAATATAATTTGATCATAACAGATATAATCAAACTCCATTTTGAAGCAACTCATAGTCTCTTTTCACCCCCACTCTTCTGTTTTGAAGGCCAGTCAAGGTTTTTGCTCTTAGCTAGTGACCATTTTTAAAGTTCCCAGTACAAACAAAGGTATAACTAATGAAAACCCGTGCTCTTGTACCAGAAATGTCATTTAGTTTTAACCATTCTTCTCTCCTTGTGATTTTTATACCTTAAAGAATTCACAGTCAGAACAGTAATCCCTTTTAATCTTTGCTGAGGTGTTTTAACATCAAACTGTTCCCTTGAAGGAGTCGACAGCTCCTCCCAAATCAGTATCATCTGTAAACTTAAATAACACTCCAGTTCTGTGTCCAGATTAAAACACTCAAATGGAGCCCTGGGAAATCTCATAGAGCCTGGACACCAGCCTGATGTAACTTCACTATGACCCTTTGAGCCTGATCTGTCAGCCAATTGTTCACCCACTGCATTATGTTTAGTCTACTCTTACTCTGGATGCTTTGTCTGGAAAGATACTGTGAGAAGCATTTTCAAAAGCTTAACTGAAATCCAAAAAGATTACATCTACTGGCTTGCCTTGGTCAAATAGATGGGTAACCTTGTCATAAAAGGAGATTCACTTCATTAAACAGGACTTTCCCATCATGAACCCATGTTGGCTGTGACCAATGATGTCATTTCTTTTCAGGTGTTTTTCAGTAACTCCCAGAATAATAATTGTAGAAATATAATTTTAGCAGGCACTGGAGTGAAACCGTCAGGCCTGTAATTATCAGGACCTCTTTTTCTTGTCCCTTTTGAAAATTGGGATGTTTATCAGCTTCCAGTCAACTGAGACTTTTCCAGGTTCCCAAGACTATTGAAAAATACTTGAGAAAGGTCTCACAATGACATCAACCAGCTCTTTGATTATGCTGAAATAAATCCTATCAGGCCCCATCCAGATGCAGCAGCAAGTCCAATGTAATTTCAGGGTTGGCTGCAGCCTGCGTTACTGCAGTCATGATGTCAGATCCCACCATCAGTGTTGAAGACAAAGAATTATACATCTCTGCTTTGTCTGCATCCCTATTCACGAGGTGACCATCCTCATCAAGTAACAGAATAATGTTATCTTTGGTCCTTCTTTCCCTGTTAACATATTCTAAAAAGCCCTTTTAGTTGTCTCTCACACTACTGGCCAGCCTCAACTCTAATCGAGTTACCATAGCACGTACCTCCTCCTGCAATAGCAAACAGCATCTTTGTAGTACTCCCACATAGCCTGAACTTGCTTCCAGTGTCCATACTCTTTCTTTCTCTACCTAAGCTGCAATCAACACTTCACCCTTGAGACACTGTTTACTAGGAGGGCACCTTGACTCCTTAGAAGCAAAATAACAACAAATTACACCATGTAACAATGCTTACAGAATGATGATTTACTCAAAACATAGTTCCAGCAGGGATATCTGAAAAAATTATTGCTGCCTACAGAATTTAACCGCTACATTAGGTAAGAACAGCCTAGGAGCAACAGTACCATGCAGGAATTGAGGCAGATGAGTTTAATTCCCAGCTCTGCTATAGTCTGTGATGGCTTGTAAATCACTTCGTGTCTTCGCATGTGAAATAGCATTAATACTCTTCTCATTATCCTTTACTCTTAAAGCATGCAACTTGACCTCAAAGTACTGTTAATAGTATAACATTAGCCATTTAATACACAGTTAAATAGGTTTTATTTACATCCTTAAAGGTTGCTCTGAAACTACACATTCCTTAAACTTCTAATGGAAATAGACAACAGGGTAGAAGATACATCTCTAATACTGGAAGCTTTACTAATAGCCCCACGAGTTAAAAAAACAACAACAAAATTGTCAAATGGGTGTAACTCAACTGGCCACACAAAGAAAAAATATCAGCAAAGTGTTTCATAAAAGTGCAGATAGAAGTGATCAAGGATGGATGCTGAGTTGAACAAGTGCTGGTCTCTATTTTTCCACAAGACATGTAGGTGATTAGGAAGGGTTTTCTCTTAGTTTTCAAAAGATGCTTATTAAAGTCACATCAAGCATCAGGATTTCTTTTTAAAGGTTAAAAAATCTTAACGTACCATTCTGGGAAATGTTCTGTAGGTCTCGGTGATTGCAGCGATTTCTCCTGCGTAAACGTAGATACAGAGAGTCTGTCCAGCCTCTGAAATAAATTAAGAATATGTAAGCTGCTAGGCTCGTATGATGTGGGTGAAAACCCATCCAATGTTATAAAAAAGAAGTACGTTCTTGACCCTGAACAACTCTGTTCACCAGCTGAAAATATAAGTCGATTCTACCATTTCTCTTTTTTGTGGTCATAAAATTCTACCATTTTGAAGAACATGGCCTAAAATGGAAGACTGAATATTCTCTGAGAAGCTGTAAATGGATGGTGAGTTTCTTTGAAATGTTCGTTCTGTATGCTTTTATCCTGATCTTTCAGGCAAGGTCTTTAAGAACCTACTTGTTATACATTATTTATCAAAACAATCCTGTTGATTGCTTACTAATTGGCTTTTCAGTGGTCTGCTGTGGAACAGTGAAAAAAAAGGAAAAAATATTGGCAGGGCATTCATTTCCCAGTGACATAAATCTTAGGTGGATTGACCACTTCTGCCTTGATTTTGATCAGTTTTCTCCTGCACTGTTGAGAAAAATGAAAATGCAATGAAAAGGATAACAACCCCAAGAGAAGCTGATGAGAACACCATGCTGTGAATCACAGTTACCTGGACATTGTTACTGGGGATGTTGATCTTGTATTTGAGCTTAGGTACTGAAGTTTTCAGGTAATTGCAATACCACGGCTCAAGAACAGTCAATTTAGGTGAATGCAGAAGGACATAAAGCAACAGTAAGTGTTGAAATCAGCAATAAAAAGAAACTACCTACATAGACACACTTGATAACACCAACCATTAACCATGCAATTGGCTGCACAAGGAAAGCAGGAGGTCTCTGCCTTTCAACATAGCAGTGGGGGGATGAGGGGAAGCAAAGAAAACTTCTTGGCTATGGCAGACATTCCTCAGCTAATCAGTGATGTAGATCCTCACTGATTAGGGGGTGGGAAGGCTGGGCCTAGGCCACATTGGTTTGCGGCTCCATTTCTGCAGGCCTAGAGAGAATGGAAGCCTTTCTGGAAGCAGTGCTCTTCCACAGCACATTGCCTGCTGGTCTCCTGCAGACTCAGTCATCGTGTTGGGAGATTTTGAGCTGAAAAGTGCATTGAAATCCTGAACAGTCCTTTTTTTCTTTCCGGACATGGAAGAGATTTAAAAAAACAGACTGAAAACTCAACACTGATCCAAGGCCTATTGCTGGCAATGCCAGGGTCGGTGCTAAGCTCTGGTCTGTTGCTAAATTCGGATCTTTTGCCACCCAGTTAAATGCTGAGTACTGAGTAGCCAGACGTTGTAATCGATTTGTAAAGGCCGGTTTTGCTGGTAGCCCTGAAAGAAGAGGCTGCATAGATGTTCTCTGTGAGCTTGTGAAGTGATACAGAACCTTTAAACACGTATGCTGTGCTGGTAGCTGAAGGAGCCCAGATTGTGCACAGGCAGAAAGAAGCAGAAAGTACAGCTGCATGGCACAACTGATATTTTTCCTGGAAAAGAATTTATAAGTTCTGTTGGTGGAAGGACTCTGTAGGCTTGGCTTCTTCTTGGTTTGGCTTTTTACTGGATTCATGACCTACCTTTGATATATAAACTAAAAAACATCCTGAACCCAGGCAAAACCAGGCACTGCTGATGAATTATATCCTTCAACTCTGGCAAGAGACATGAGCTTCTCAATGCTGGTCAGAAAGATGATTGAAGAAAATGCTATTCTTTTGCTACTTTCTACTAGATGTGAAAAAAAAAAAAAAAAAAAAAAAAAAAAAAAGCAGATGGAAAAAAGATCACCCCAACCACAGAAAAAGGAATACCATCAAAATAACCACAGGTTATCACTTATTCTATTGTTTCAAGATCAAAAATAAAACATGAGAAACGGGTGCAAAAAGAAAGAAAAACACTGATCTTTGTTATTGTTATCTATTTTTTCCTTCTCACTGCTTTGGAAGTTTCAAAAAAGCAAGATTTCATTTTTTAACCTCTTCCTTTTATTTTTTTCCTTCCAAACTATAATTTGATCAGCTCTAAAAGCACACAGAATTTCAGGAAGACTGGGCTAGATTACTGAGAAGTGTACATTTACTTAAGGTTTTTAAAATGTTGCCAGATTAGAGGGTGACCTTGATTTCAGAAACCCATCTGTCCAGCATTTTTTGTCTTTTCTTCCAAGCACTGCTTTCGAGGCTCACTATGGCTTCTCCTCCCTGTCCATTAGCTTACCCAATGGTGGAGTTTAGGAACCCAGTGATCTCTGAGAACTGGGGCCAGTCAAGCTCATCGGTGAAAGCCATCGGGAGATTAGCAAACGATTTCTGAAAAATAAATTTTTAAATCAACCTAATTTCACCTTTACAGACAAAAAAAACCCAGCAATTACAATGATGGCTATAGTGGTAATTATTTAAGAAGCTGACTCGTACAGTGGACATACCAAGAGGCAGAGAAGGGAGAAGCAGAAGCAGGGGCATTCCGAGATGTCTGAGTTGCATCTACCAAGATTCTTTGATTCTGGAGGATTCCAAAGCTCTTTGTGAGTTGCATCACACGTTACAGATGGACACAACCAAAATAACAGCTGTTTGCTGCCTTTCCAAAGGTGAGTACACCTGGACAAAGGAAGATGTGGCAGTGCTTTGTCCACAGTCTCTCTAGCAGATGGATGGGAAGGCAAGGATGATGCTGAACTCACTCCAAGCTCCCTTGCAATCTCCAGCAGCATGAGTATCCAGCCCCTAAAAACCTCTACAGTGCAGATGTCTTGTACTTTTGCTGGTCTTTGTCCCCAGTTTATTTATTTTTAAAATGGTTGCCTCTGCAAATGCCTCTGTGTGGTCACACACTCAAAATGAAGTACCCTGTTTGTCTACCTTTTGATTTGTGACAGTGCAAAAGTGGTGAAAGAGAAAAATGGCCTCCAGAAACTATGCTACTGCAGAAGGATGAGTATGTGGAGTAAATTCGCAGCTTGTCCCAGACTGGGGATCACAAAGATAAATGTATAAATTCAGTGTGCTCAAACTGAAAAAAACTGTTGATGAAAATGGCAATAACCAAAGAAGGTCAAAACATAAAATAAGAAAACTTACAGGCTAGTTTAATCTGTTTAATTTATTAGCTTAATTTTCTTTTAAATCAGTCGTAGGGTTTTCCTTAAACCCTCACAGCTATCAACAGCAAGCAGGCAGAAATTCTTTCTCCAACAGGGTCAGAATTAACTGAAAGCAATTCTCGGTGTCTCAAAAAGCCTTTATTCCCACAAAATTATCATTTAGGTGAATAGGAGCTTTACTTGAGTATATGATTATGGGCTTTATATGTAAGAGGCTGGGAGGAAAAGAGGAGGAGAGGCAAGAAAGGGGGGCACGGGGGATGAAATCCTGAAGCTGAGCTCAATGCAGCCTAATGCATGGCAGATGCCAGCACAAAGCATGTAACAGCCTATCTGACCTACTTATGATGGCTCTGCATTAGTTACCAAGGTGAAAACGGGTCTGGCTTCACAGCTTTCAGTGGCTTTTCTCTCATATATATGTGTGTTCTTGCCTGTAGCTGCATATATGCATCTATACGCATACATGTGCTTATTTTAAAGACTGGAGGGAACTTCTGAACCTCTCTCCCTAAAAAGTGATAGCTTTATTTGCAAGCAGACATTTAATCAAGGGGTTAAGCTCAACTTAGTCATTTGATGCATTTATCTCCCTGTAGATTGGCTGTGAAGACAACAGAAATATTGAAAGAAGTAACTTAACATAGGACAAGTTAGAGATCTGGTCTTGTATCAGACACATCATACACCTGCATATGGAGCACAAATCTATTTTTCTGTGACCAAGTCTACCATTTTTTCATACTATCACTCCAGAATAATGTTTTCATTGGACAAAGCCCATAATAATTTTTAACTGTTTTTCCCCTGCAATCTTAGCTTAAATATGAATTAGCCAGAATCTAATTAAGTTGCAAAAATTGCTCTGGAAAGGAACACTTGAGCCCAGAATTATAGCTGCATTTGAAAACTGTAGATAGGGTTGGCATTGACACCGCTCCAGCAAAGTATTTAAGCCAGACTTTTGAAGATATTTCAGGACTGAAAGGTGGAGATGAGCGGTTAATTTCAGATGAATGCTAGACCTTGAACTTGCAGAGTTGTAATTTGGAAAGCACCGCCTAACAGACTGCCTTTTGCTTAGTCTCAGATGCAAATGTGGCCCACAGTAGAGTTGGATCTATGTTGACTTTTAGCTTAAAACTCCTCTCAGTACAGCCCTGTTTAAATACCATTCTCTCAGCCTATTCTGGCTGAGAAACCATGCTTCAGCCTATGTGCCAGATTTTAGCAGAGAATGATTAGAAAGTTATTCCATGCTAGCTTCAAATGCTGTATTTTAGTCTCAAATGCCCTAAATGGGTCTCAATTCAAAGGAACCTTTACACCTCTTAGATGTGTCCTAGCTTGAGGTACACCTCCCCAAACCCTCCTCTTCCTTTTGCACTGCAAAGCCATGGCTGATGCTAAAGACACACCAAGCCATGCTGGACAAAGTCAGATGAAATGGAAGAATGCTCAGTGTTGCTAAGGCAAGATATTTTCAAAATCAGACCACAAAAGGGCACCGGAAACTTAATGATAACAGAGCCATTTAGAAATGGCAGAAGTTGTGAAAGCACTGAAGTACCCCTTTATCTGAAGGAAAATCAGGTATTTGTTTGTATAGTCATTTTAGCAGTGTTAAGTTCCTCTTGACAGCACTACGTACCTGAGACAATGTTCTTATTATGAAAATAAGCTTAGAGCTCCTGAGGAGGAAACATCCCATCTTCTCATAAATCATGAATGGCATGCAAAATTGCAAGAGGTATAGATGTGAAATTAGAAACATTATCACCTTATTTCTCCAGAATACAGCATCTGAATAATTATAATGCTAGCTAGGAGAAACTTGGCTGCAACTCACCAGATTTACAGAGAAGCTAGAACATGTTTTGAATAAGATTTTCACAGATCAAATTGCTGTTATTTCTATTGGGGTTGAAAAAAAAAGAAGTGGGAAGGATAAATGTTCCTGAACTCAAATGTAAAGAAATGGTTTTTTTTTTATATTTTCATTGGAAATATAAAACAGTAACTTGTTATTTAAACGAGATATGCAAAGATATTGCATTTGTGGGCAAATAGATATTTACTGGATTACAGATAGATAGATGAGGGATTTATTTTCGTCTTTATTTAGCATGAAATAGAGATTCAAGAGCTTTTAAATTCATCTTCCTAGAGAGGATAACTCCAGCTCCTTTATAAATATAGCGCTTTTATCTCCAGATAAAATGTTTTCTGAAATGAGATTTAAAAGTAAGCTCCTATCCCAGACATATAACAGAAAAATGCTGCATTTAGTAGCTATTTGGAAGTCAATTACAAGCAGATGGACAGAGCAGCAGGAGTGCAATATCCATGGCTAGACACACCAGTGTTTTGAACATTAAAATTCCACGAAAAAACATCCACCTCAGACAAAACCAACAGTATTTCTTCTGCTTTGTTAAACCTCATAAAAAGCACGCCTACTGCATTACACTTAGTTTTTAGTGTCAGAATTTTAACGTCAAAGGAATGAACGTTCAGCTCAGTTCTTGCTGAAGAAAGGAGAAAGGGCTGGCAGACCTAAGACCGGTTGATAAGAAGGAAGCCAAAATAATCATCTCCTTTGTACAGCTGAATAATTCCCTTCCTGTAATTCTTCTACTTGGGGAGTTTAGGGATTTAATAGAGCAACGGCAGGTTGAGAACAGAGCTGTGTGCAGATAGGTATCTCCTCAGGGGTGTTCCAGCATTCTTTTCTCAGAGTTGCTGCACTTCAGCCATGTTTTGGGACCCAGCATAACTACATTGGTGCAAAACTCCAAACTGAAATAACAACAAATGCCCTAATGTTGTTGCTTTGCTGTTGTTAATTTTCAAATCTGGAGGAATAATGTGCTTATCTGAGCAGAAGCTTTCAATGGACAATTTCCACAATGAATTTAGTGGGAGGAACATCCACTAAACGTGACGGTAACTTCTCAGCTAGAAGGAGAAATACAAAGCCCAATATATAATATCTTCTCATACAGTAACTTCCCAGCAGCAGCCTTTGAGAAGATAGAGCAAGGATCTGAATTCCAAAGCTATTCAGTCCAAATCAGGTGCTCATTTTCTGGTCACCTTCTGCTGGTCATCCAATGACCCAAATGACAATCTGAGCCCACTTCAGTGTAGAAATTTCTCTTTAATATTCTCATTCTTTCCTCACTCAACTTTGCTGCTCCTTTGCGTGGTAGCAAAATCAGACAAAGCACCAGATCTGCAGAGCCTCTTAACTGAATTCTCAGCACCTCTCCTCTAAAATTATTTCCCCACATAATTAGCTCTAAAGCAGGAATTAACAGCTGCTGCTGATGTGGTGCTGATTAACAAGAGGGCCCACAGAGTTGTTAAAGTGTGAATTTTACTTTACCCTTGCACATGAGTATGTGAACACGCGTAAGGATAAATATGAAATACATTAAATATATAAAGCATATAAAATAAATATGTAAAATACAGAAAATTGGTAAGGTAATAAAAAACAGAATTTCGTGAATCTGGGTTAAGAGGCACATAACATTTTCCTTGGAAAGTAGTAAAATTCTTGGGGGGGAAAAGCCCTACTTGGAATTCTATGTAGAGGGCTGAATCACCATTGAAATGGAAATTACAGCTTTGAACTCCCTCTACTATTGACTACAAAAGAAACCATTTGATCAACTAATTTTCCAACACGTCCTATCAAAGAAATTTTGTCAGAATCAGAGTGCAATGCCTTAAGATTGGCAGCAGGTAGACAAAGTAAATGCACTGTCTCCTCCTTGCAGAGCCCAGATGTCAGGCTCTTCTTGCTGTGGTCCCAGATTAAGGATGGTTCTGTGAGATTAGGATTTAGACCCACTGCACCCTCTCTAGTCACAGAACCAGCCCTAGGTGTGCTCAAAAATTCTCCACAAGGAAGGGAGCACAAAGAAAGGATGAGTGCCTGTTGGCCATGAAAGGCATACTGTGACCAGCAGAGCACACTGCTACCTTTTGGTTTTTACAGGAGTGGAAAAACAAGGCCTACTGCTTTAACCTTTTCATTTTTGCATTTGAAAGAGGGAGAGAGAAAGAAAGAGAGGAGGAAAGGAAGATGAGAGGAAGGGAGGGACATTTCTTGGTCAGATCCCTCTGCAAAGTTCTCAGGTAGCATGCAGCTGTACATGTTTTTATTCTTTTCTCTCTTTGCAGAAACACCCAGAACTTTTAGAAGCTCAAAATGACTGTTTTCTTTTTCAGTTTGTTAATTAGACCTACACAGGAAGGACATTTACCAACAGGATGTAACACTATTTCTCAAGAAGCATATTGCACTTTCTTGACCTCGAAGCAAGATAAGTTGCTGCTATTGACTTTCTACACACAGGCAGAATAAGATGCAGAGGGCAAGAAAGAGGAATAGGCAGCAACAAAGAGGGAGAAGCAGCATCAAATTCTGAATTAGCTCCAAATGTTTTTTTACTAGTAATTTTGTTCACAGGTGACACTTTCCTTAGTTAGGGTTAGCTGCTAATTAAACAACATTTTGGTGTTTAAACACTTGTTAGTTCACAGCACTGAACTCTGCATCTCTGCATCAATGTATCTGTTGTATGTTTGTTCAGTAGAAATGCTTGAATACAGTTGTATTTAGCTTCTCCAATTTGAGCAATCCCTTAATTTCTTTTATTTCCTACACTGTGGTTAAATGGAATGACTATGAAAAGCCAGAGTGAATATATATTTGTCCTTATTCCCCCAGTGCAGGAGGGCTCATGCTCTGACTTAGAATAATGGAATCATTGGAAAAGACCCATAAGATCACCAGGTCCAACCATCTCAAAACATTACCAATTCCACCACTAAGCCACATCCCTAAGCACGACACCCATGTCTCATAAACACCTCCAGAGATGGGGATTTCACCACCTCCCTGGACAGCCCATTCCAGTGCCTGAACTCTCCCTTCCATGAATAATTTTTTCCTGATCTTCAGTCTAAATCTCCCCTGGTGCAACTTGAGGCGATGAGCGACTCTAGGGGAGAAGAACCATTTCTCCCTTTCCGATCAGCCCTTGCTCTTTCCAGCACATCACCGAGCTGGAGTTCATCTCTGAGAACATTGATTCTCTACTTTACGTAGATAGGACCATGCAAGTTGCTCAACAGACATCAGACAGTAACAACAGGCAACCTGAACATCATCTGCACTCCGGCACTAGGCCTTGATACTTCTGCCTCAGCATGCCATCCAGCTAGCAGAGAAATACTTTCTAAACCCTCATGTCAGTAACAACAAAATGCTGACGTAGTCTAAAACTGTTCTTGCCTGCATAGCGCTGCCACCAGCGTTACTGCCAGAATCATCATCACCATCAGTGTTATTACCATCTTTATTAGACAAGATAATCTCAATTACCATTAGTGCTAATTTATTATGCTCATCATCAGCTTTGTCATCAGTGTCATTCATCTAATAATTGCTCATAAACGTTTAACAAAGAAAAACAACAGCTAATTGGCAACGTTTAAATCAGCCCAGTTCTGGGAGCAGAAGAGGGAAAAATGCATTGGACTCTCAGACCTACAAAAGCACCATAACTGCAGAAGTTTTGGGACAAAGCTGGTTCTCCAGAAATTTTTCATATTTCACAGTGGAGGAGTAGTGGGAGTTCTGCAGGGATAGAGGAGATCTGCTCACCCTGTGCAGAGGACATGACATACGCCAGGGAGCCGCATCACCTTGTGGAAGCACACAGCAATGAAGGACAGGAGCATGCCTGTGAATTTATTCCCCCCTTCTAATTACTGCTTGCTTAGATGATCTTTTTTCCTGTTACCTCATTCAAATTAGTGACCTGCAAAAGCTGAATCTCAGTGTAATTCAGAGCTGGGTGAATTATATTGCTGTTCAAAAATGGGAAACGCTGCCTAAGATAGATATCAGTGTGCTAGTGATGCTCTACGCTCATTACAGAAACTGTTCCCTTTAGGACAAGTCCACTGCAAACCCCTGGTGATCCCTATGTGCCTGCAGATGTATCTGTGCAACAAGCTACAGAATCTGTGCACTGGAATGCCCTGTCCTATTACACGTACGCCACAGATGAGGGAAAACACAGATGAGGGGGAAGGCAAGCAGTGATTTTGGCAGGCCAGGTGCAGTTTCTCACCGCGGACATCTGCGTGACAGTCATCCACTCGGGTGGGATGTGGAAATGCGCTCCAGCCGAGTCTCCCAGCAGCACCACCCCCTGGGAGTCCGCACCTAATTAACGCACTTGGTTAATGGCATGAAACGCTCCCAACACGTAAAGCCCTCCTAGAGTAACAAGGCAGAGCATGGAGAGCAAGGCTTGCAGAGCAACATCTACACGATTGCACAAAAGGAAAAGGAACGTGCGCCATTCTGCCTTGCTCATGAGGATAGGGAAGACCGCTGTCATCCCCCCACATTGACAATGATCAGAAAAGCACTAAAATATGAAATGAACACAAAATAAACATTGTTCCTCGTGCTGGCTTTAAAGCCTCACCTTTGCAGAATTTTTCCTCGTAGGGAATTCCATCTTTTGGATCCACGCCCTGTCGAAGGAGGGAAAGGGCAGATGAACGTCTCTATCCAGGGGTCAAAGAATGGTGACACAAAATGGAAGCTTAGAATTTAGGTCTTGAATGTTTGCCTGTCGGAAGCACTGCATGGTAATAATGACACCTTCCAGTAAATTATTCTAATAAGTTTACGTACATTTCAATTAACTATAATAGCTATAATTGAAATAATCATAAGCATTGATAAACAAACTCTCATAACTGCTTCCTCTGTGTTCCCTTATTTTTTAATAAATGTAATTTTATTTGAATATCAGAGGAAGTAAATAAGTGGAATAATCCAAATCAGCTAATAAACCAGAATAATAAAACCCAACGTTTATGGACTATTTCAAAATGAGGAAAAAAAAAAAAAAAAGGAGAAAAAGCAATCAGGAAGGAATTTTAAGATGTAACTTCATTTACTTACCCATATGCCATTGCAGTTGGAATCGCTTTTCACATCCCAGTTATCAGGACTAAAACAGAATTAGAAAAGGCTATACAACGTTACAGAAAACAAGGGAAAGAAGGGGAGGAAATCGAAAGCTTTGTGCTATTTTCCATGAAGAATGTAAAATAATTAGAATTTCCTTCCTGCACAGAAGGGCACCTCACTCAAAGGCAATGAGAAACGCTGTGCCCTCTTCACAGATTGCCTAAAAACAAAATATGGAGCTCGTCCTTTACAAAGCCACAATTGTTATAAGCAACTAAATTATCTGAAATAATTAAAAGCTTTACCGTCTGCCAGGGTACACGGTGGTGTTTTTGTCATCACAGTCTCTGCCGCGCCAGTGATAGCCCCTCAGTGTCTACAAGCCAGGAGGAACACACAAATAGAACACTTGTCGCTACTCTGGTGCTTTTAATTTAAAATATCTAAAATGAGAATCTAACTCAAAGTGCAGGAATAAAGCGCAGTAAATGGGTTGTATTTCAGGGCGCTTTTACTGAGCTTTAATAAATGACGCCTTGCACGCTTTGGTGAAGAAATAAGCTGGGAATTTATTATTATTTTTTAACATGTTGGTACTTTACCTCTTCTGAATTCAGTAAACAGACCACTTAGCAGCAGAGCAATTTGCTTCTGCTGGGAGCACAGCTTCATGTGTGCATCTGCCCAGCTGGCATAAATGAATGACAGTGATTTCATCCAGAAGCAAAAAAGTCTTTCATGACAAAAAAAAAATAAACCTTTTTCACTTCCCTTTACACAATTTTCACATGAATTAATAAGGCTCTGCAGAAAGCGTGACGAAACCCACTGACGTTCTCAGTATTAAGGGATTATTGTACCAAAGGAAAGGTTTTGCTTACTGGGAAAGTACTGAATTTATCTCCATCAAAATCTTCAAAAGGCAGTTTATTCCTTAGGACACTGTGAAAAACAATAAATGCAATGTTAACATAAGGAAGGAAACCTATTCAGAAAAAGTATAGCGTTCAGAACAGGTAACAGCTGCCATGTTCGCAAACCTGTGCTCAATTTTAGCTCTCTGCTTGTAGCAAATTCTGATCTCCTTCAATATCAGCTGAATGAGGGACTAGTGTGAGGCTGCAATAGCAAACCCTCAGCCTCCAGCACAAACTGGGGCACCACATCAGTGGTAGAAGTAACTATCAATTTGGAAGTGAACACCACACTCAGTGTGGCATATCTTATAAATCTATTTCCAGATAGGAAATAGTGGCAGAAATATTCTACCTGCAGAAGAGCTGCAGAATGGTGTCTTGGCTGGTGGAAACCTCCTTCCTCTCTTAAAAACAAATGGTATATACCCATTCTCATGTGCATCCCAGAAGACTTTACACCACATCTTCTGTTACGTTTAGCCTAGAGACTTGCAGTTTCTATACCAAGTTGTAGATGCACAAACTTATGCTTATTTTATTGGGTAAAAATCAGCTTTTGAAGAAATGACCTGTCTAATATCCTGATATCCTCAGCCTTTCTTCAAAGCTCTGATTCAAACTTAGCAATGACATTAAGCAGTTCTTCCTGTCCATCATTCACCCAGCTTTCTTAAATACCTGGCGATTTTCCTACACTTGCAATCACTGCTTAATTCCTATCCTTCACATATCCTTAGTTTGCCTTAAGCCTAGCAGAATATGGGTTTTGGCACTGAGCAAAACAATGGAGATGTCTCTGGGACTCCAGAAATCTCAGGAAAAAGCCAGCACCTCCTAAGGTGTCATATCACTGTGTAACAGAGAGCTCTGTTCTGTGACAGAGCATATTTGTCCTCTTGGACCTGCTGAATGCATGCAAATATTTTAAGTATTGCAAAAGCACAGGCAACCCTCCAAGCAATCTCACCCACCTGAAAACTCTATGCAGCTTCCATATGCACTGCCTGGGCAGTGGTTTTAGGAAGGAAAGAACCAGCAGTGAAGTACAGGGAGATTTGTTAAAGGTGAGGATTATTTTTCTCCTTTGAAAGAAACAGATGTACCACACACTGTTTCTGGTGAAGGGCTGAAAACTTTATACATACTATTTAATCCTCTCACACAGGTCAGCCAGAGGAGGAAATGCACATAGATTTGGGAACCCCACGGTGCTTTTCTGGAGGGCAAGAAAATAATAATAAAAAAAAAGGTGAATACATTAGTTCATAGAGACAGCATAGCCTGAGATACTGTGCCAGTGAAGTCCAGAGCTAAACCATGTATTTTCTGCCTAATAGCATCTGAAAACACCAACAACTCCACTAAAGATGCCACATGCCAGAGGATTTGAGGATTTAGACCTGACGCAGCAGTCAACTCAGGGATTACAACTGAACATTTTCTAAACCAAGTACATTTACTTTCAGAGAGTTGTAAAATTGAAAGGAAGGAAGCAGCTCTCATCAAACTGCCTCCTGTCATGCACCAAAGTTTTTTTTTTTTTCACTCTTTGTGAAATCACCTATTCTCATCTTGAATAAACACGACAGTATCTTGTACTTAGCACAGAACTAGTGAAAGCAACGCACATTGCAGGCTAAAAAGCTGACTTCTGCACACTTGGTGGGGAGCTTTGGATAAGCCAAAAAAGTCAAGGGCCAAAGAGAGCAGAAATAGGGGGGATCCAGCACGTGCATAGAATGCCTTTGATTTTTAATGAGATTTTTTTAACCTAGGATCTCATAGCTAGTTTTGAGATGTCTAAGCCCAGCAGCTGCAGGATGAACTCTTCCAGCATTAGTAGACTACAGGCCAACCCAAAGGAGGTCCCAGGTAACCAGGAAGATTCAGAAACTAAAAGAGCTCTTCTTACTTAATGCTCAGGTTAGAAAACACTGTGGTGCATTGCAGCTCAAACCCACAAATACATGGTGAGTGTGGTTTCACAATAAATTCAGGCAGCCTTTAAACACCAGGAGTGTTCAGGTGGCCAACAAATATGGAGGGCTAGTTGATGCACAGACTAATTAATTGTATTCATAAGGCCACATTCAGCATATAAATCTGAAACAGCTGAGCAGATGGACATACTCATTACTTTATGCAAAGGAGGGTAATTATTTATATTGCCATAGCACCTCTGTCCTTGGACCAACTCCCTCATGTTACACATTTTAGATACACAGAAGAAAAGTAAGACAGTCCTCACACTAATGAGATTACAGCCCCCACCTAACATAAAACTGAAGGTAAGGACTGCATGCAGCTTGGGAGAGGACAAGAAAAAGCTATTTATCACCACAAGGGGCAGCAACCACAGCATGCAAAGCTCTGAGTGATGGAGAACTCCCAAGACAAGGGGAAATGGTTTTAAGTGGAGGGAGGGAAGATTTAGGTTGGATGTCAGGGGGAAGTTCTTTACTATGAGAGTGATGAGGTGCTGGAACAGCTGCCCAGAGAGGTTGTGGATGCCCTGTCTCTGGAGGTGTTCAAGGCCAGGTTGGATGGGGCCCTGGGCAGCCTGGTCTAGCATTAAATGGGGAGGTTGGTGGCCCTGCATGTGGCAGGGAGGTTGAGATTCATGATTCTTGAGGTTCCTTCCAACCCTGGCCATTCTGTGATTCTGTACCTCCTAGAGGGTGCTGAAGGGCAGCAAGGCAGGGTTTCATCAGTATGTTGTGCACTACCCTGCAGCTCTTGTGAAGGAAGGCATTTGCTTGGGCAGTTAACAAGGAGCTACGCAGTAGTAAGAGTAGAGGTCACCCTCAGCAGAAAGTCACAGCTGGGATTTCAACTGGAGGGAGGGGAATAGTGAAGAGATGAGGAAGCCCGCAACATAAAGACAGTAGGTAATGCTTGCACCAGCAGCTGAAGATGAAAAAAAAAGTTGTGCTGTGCTTGTAGCAGCTTTGCAGCACTGGAAGTGGAGTAGTGACAATGCACTCTCTGATGGACACCACAGAGAAATCAAAGAAAAAAAAAGGGAAAAAATTAGGGGAGCCATGAAACTTGCAAAAAAAAAAACCCCAAAAAAACAACAAACCCCAGCTAACTCTCCCTAGTTCTGTCAGACTCATATGGCAAAGCTGGCATTATGCTAGGGACCAAAAGCTTTGCAAACCTCTGTACAGCTTCCTGCTTCCTGGAAAGGATTAAAAAAACCCAACACTTCCCCCACCTCCTCCATGTAGGACTAATCTCAACGCTGCCTGCAAAAGCACTGGAGGCTCTGAAAACTTTTCATTGTGCTAAGATTTGTGCTGTCTTCATCTAAGCTGTTGGCTTCTTACTTCAGCCTAAATCACAGCATGCAAAGCCTTTGAAGTTAAGGCACCCGGAGCCCAAACTGTGCCAGAAAGACAAAATTTCCAAGAAATAAGTTAATAAAGCAGGCCTTCTTTTACTTTGCTTTCAGGCTTCATTTAAAGTTTATCATTTGCAGCAAGTAGAATAAAACCTTTCCTGCATTTTTCTCAGCTAGTTGTGAAAAGTGCTGCTGACTGAGCTCTGTGAGCCCCAGAACACTGCTCAGCTCTGGTGGGAATTGCAGGCATCTTCCCAGCAGAGTCATGCCATGATTGCAGCAGTTGGTGGGCAGGAGACTGGTTCGTGCCCTGCTCTGCCTTGCAGCCCTCTTTCGTCTCCCTTCTGTGGCTTTCTGCTTCTCCTGCTGCAGGGATGTGAGTTATAGGCAACACGTAGTAGCTACAAGATTGCATACACACAGCTTACTCTCTTAAATACTAAAGGCACAACTCTCTTCTGCTGAAGTAACTTTTTCCTCTGCTGTTACTCAAGGATGCCTACTCAAGGATTCATAAGAAAAGTTAGTGCTAGAGAGGATCAGAACAACCAATAACAATATTTTATTCATAGCCTGTTAGCATTCCATAATGACATTCCAGTAATTATTTTAATTGGTTTTATGAAAACAAAGAAGAAGCCCCTGATATTTGTTGGTGTTTGGTTTAAATGAGTTGCTCACAGATGGCTTACTACATTTAATGAATGGAGAAACTTATTAGATATTTTGGGTTGTGGCATTTTTCACATTTCCACATCTGGAAGATACCTTCTCTTTTTCCCAAACCCACAATGACCCTAAGAAAAGTTCAGTAAATACAATCCCCAGGCAGCCAGGCAGATCTCCCAGTCTCCTTAGCACCAGCTGTAATCACCTCTGTTTTATGCACAGTCATGCACAGCACCTGAGCCAAGATGGGGACAATTAACGTGCAAGAACCTCTCCAGAAGGCTGGGGAATTCTTTCTCCAAACACACCACAAAGCAAAAGCACCCAAAATGGTGGCTATGAGGAAAAAGATAACTTGCTGTCTCTCTCCAACAAGGGTCAAAACTTTAAAGAGGTCCTGCTATGCCCCTAGAAGTGTTGCTATTATTAATTTCCTGCCTTTAACATGTTTTTCTTAAAGTATCATTGCAAGAAACACACTAGGTATAACTGCAAAGTGCAACCATTGAGAAGATAATTGTTTTAATTTGATCTGGCCTCGTGCTGTTTGGTTTAAGCTTAGACTTAGAAATGCATTGACTGGAGAAAGCCAGGGTCTCACTGCTCTTAGCCAGGGCACTTCCTAATTGCCCTTTCCATTGATGAACAGGCAATTAAGGGCTGGAAGAAGCCAAGGGCATAGTGATGGAGAATGAGGAGGTACAGGAGCATTGTATAGCAGACTTGAGTTCATGGTAGAGCACTGGTACATTGGAAAGAGACCCCATTGCACCAAGGACTGTTGCCAACCATGCCAACCTACTTTGGAGACCTCAAAATGTTCTGCAGAGGCCAGGCATGGCTTGCCACACAAGGGACACAGCTTGGTGTGCAAACAGAAGGAAAAAGAAAGGATCAGACTCCTCATTTCAGCTTGTGAAGCCCATGCAAGGGAGGTAAAGAGGTCTGCATCCTAAGAGGCAGCAGTTGCTCATCCATCCCTCTCCATCCCACACCTGCTCCAGAGCTCAATCTAGCAGAGAGGACCTCCTTAACTCAGAGAGCCTTTCTGCAAGCATTAGACTGTGGGCTTGCACCCTGGGAAGGGAATTAGGTATTGCATGTAATTTGAGAGGAAATCTCAGGCTATCAGGAGGACAGCACTGAATAGGGAGGAAAATGAATAAGATCCTGCTGGGTGCTGTGCTGTAGGAGCTGAGACCCATCTCTCCAGCGCATTGTTTATTTCCCTGGCTTCACCATTTGGCAATTGCCCAAAGGCTAATTAGGCACCTCCATTTTCACTTTTGTGAGTAGCATCACAGTGAGGGTTCAGGAAGAAGCGATATCAATAATTTCTTCACAAACAGCAAAAACATTTGCTCTGAATTAAGTGCCTGAAGACAACTGGAAGCAAACTCCATGGCTAAGTGAACCCAGCAGAATAGAAGCTGTCTTTCCTTCTCTGCAACTGAGTAGAGATCCACTGTAAATCTGGAAACTGGTGGAGGTGGAAGATTTCCAACCCCAGCTTTCAAGTTAAGAGGGACATAAAGGAAAAAAAAAACAAGCAGAATTTGCATTTAGGCTATTGCTTGAATTTCAGACAACCCCAAAGGGCACTCTCTGTGCTCTTTGCAACTTCGTTCATGAGGCTTCCTCCTACACATGCCTACAAGGGCAAGGCAGGGATGGCTAGGGACATGGAGGATGCAAAGATGAGGAGGAGCTGGGGCCCAGCAATGATAAATAACTCAAGAAGTTTGAAGGAAGAACATCTCTAGGAGGAAGGGCACAGGGAAAGGATGAATGGGGAAATTCCTGCCTTGTAAAAAATCTAAACAAAATATCTATATGCTTGTATTTTTTTACAAGCAGGTATTTCAGTGTGGATCTGTACCGTGGAGCCCACAGATGATGTCAATTGCTCCATGAATATCTTGGTTAGATATCAAAAGTTATCCCTGCTCAACAAGTCAAAACCTCATGGGAAATGCTATCTGCTCTCCCTCTATTTTACATTTTGTTTCTGTTATTTCTCTGTCCTTCTTTCTAGTCTCACTTGAGGAGCTTGGTAGGAGTGATTCAGTCATCCAACTCTATGATGATCAAGATGGCTCACAACTGGGCAAAATGAGTGAGGACTCGCTCCCACTAAGCAAACACAGTGTAAAACAGCACAACACCACCAATATCTTACCAGGTCCTTGGAATTCTTCAAAATCCTTTTTGCTTTCCGTATTGCAGCACTCAACCCCACCTAGGAGAGCAAGAACAAAACACACACAAAAACCAAACAGATCAGCATCATAGTAAATCACAAATATTTTCTTCCCCATTTTTAACTTTTTTTTTTTAATATCAGTCACAGCACAAAAATGATGTGCAAGTCTACAAACTCATCATCAGCTACTTTTTATTGGACTAACAATCAATTATCTGATCACCCCATATGAAGCTCCAGTGGCGAGAGTTCATTTATTTTGCTCCAGGGCATCATTTATTTCCTGAAAGAAAATCCAGATCAGTTTAAGAGCTGAGATTCGTATCCTGACTGCAGCATGTGAGCTGCAGAGCACTGACTGCTCCACGAACTCTGCAGAAAAACAAACCATTCATTAGATGGTCAGGGAATAGATTTGCAGTGCCAGTCTGACATACTGTGCTAGGTATGAAGGCAACATTTGATGAGGCTATACTTGCCAGCAGGAGAATAGTTGGCATGTGGGAACATGCAAAGGAGAGAATAATAACTCAGAGGTAAATCTTCTATTTGGAATCTAGGAAGGCTAGCTCTTTATTATGGAAATAACTGACCTCGAGCAAGGCTGAAAATATTGATCATTTGCCCTCCTTCAGAAGAAATAACTGCTTCTATTCCATGGGCTTTCATGACTGCTTAAACATAAACACATTGGGGACTCCTGAGGTCCACATTCATAATATATGCATTTATTAAATACTATATATATTATTTTAATATAGAATTCTATGCATTTAAATCTGCTTTTGAAAAATGGTTCACATAGAAAGAAAAATCCCACTGGTGCGTAACAACTACATTAGTACCTTGCTTCTGATCAACATGGTTAGTAAGAACAAGTTGTTCTGACAATGCCCAACCAAAAGTACTAAAGTGTTTGGAAAAGGAAGAAAATATCCCTCAAGTGACAGCACCTTCCTGAACAGCATATGTCAGCTTGGAATATTAAAGCAGCATAAACTTGCATTTCAAGGAACTGATATCAACATTTTTTACTGGGGATAAAATTTAGCATCTCATCATGATTGAGGCAATCAAAGCAAATTGAGAGATCCAAGACTCAAAAATTTATAGTTAGTATAAAGAGATAAGGAAGAATAAGAAGAAGAAACAAGGAATAGAGATGTCTGAGTGTTTATATATAGATGCTTTGTATATATGTATTATGTATTTGTGTTGATAATCTCAAAAGTCTGGATACGTCTCAAACAATAAATGAGAGATGCTAGGAGGGAGCCAAGATAATGTTTCCTGTTCTCTTCCCACTGGACAAGTTCTAAACCAAATGTGCATCTTGTATTTGCATATTATGTATGTTTCCAAGTGCTATTATTTCTCCCATAAAATGCTTCAAGGTTTAGATGAGAAAAATAGCTTTAAATTGGATATGATACATGAAGAATTTCCAAGGAGGTAAGATTTGTCAGTCCTTTTCTGCTGGGCAGGAGAGGAAGACCCTGTCTTGCTCTCAGCAGCAGTGCACGAGAAGTACACGCTTCAGACAGCTACAGTAAAATTGCACACGAAATGTAGAAAATAAAAAGCTGAATTGACAGCGCATGCAGCTAAGCAGTGGCTCTGAAATGCTGAGGATGAGATATCCTCCCACTGCAGAAGTTACATTGGGCAGGACTCAAAGGTGGCATGTGCAGAACTTTCATCTGAAGCACCGGTACAGGAGAAAACCAACCTCATGGGGCTCCCGCAGCCCTTGGTCAACATCAGCACTTTGATGAAGGCCATACATCCCACACAAACCCTCTTGCTGCAGCTCAGCAAGCAGCCCTTCTTCCTTTACATGTGAGCACCACTAGACATGGGGCTCCCAGAGCTCCGGCAGCTGGTGGACAAAGCTGTGAGGAAACCAGATCAGCTTGGTCATGGACAAGATGCCCATGCCATGGGTGGAACTGGAATAGGATGGGGTTCATTAGGATTTCATTCACAGACTTCCTTCAGTGACCTCCTCAGAGCTCATGCATCCCAAGCTATACATTTTTGTAAACAGCTTGATCTCTCATCATGAACATACAAAACAACTTTACATGTCTCTGGCTCTTTCCCAGGGGAGTGGACATCTACAAAACACTCTGATAGTTCCCCTTCTAGCTCATTTCCATTATTTCTTTTACGAGGAGTAGGCATATCAAGGTACCAAAGCACTGCTGAGCTAGTTCAGCAGCACCAGCAAAAATAGGATTTGTTCTTCAGTTCTAATTCTTTCATCCTGTAGATAATCATAGAATCACAGAATGACTTAAGTTGAAGGGGACCTTAAATGCCATCCATTTCTAATCTCCTGTTATGGACAGGACCACCCATCAGATCAGGCTGTCCAGGGTCCATCCAACCTGGTCTTGAACACCTCCAGGCATGGGACATTTACATCTTCTCCAAGCAGCCTTTGCCAATGTCTCACTGCCCTCTGACTAAAAAATTTCTTCCTAATATCTAACCTAAAACTCTCTTCTATTTTAAAACCACTGCCCTTTGTTCTATCGCTATCAGACCATGTAAAAAAGTCACCCCCCCTCCTGCTTGTAAGCTTCCTTCAAATACTGGAAGGCCACAACGAGGTCTCCCTAGAGCCTTCTCTTCTCCAGACTGAATAAGCCCAACTCCCTCAGCCTTTCTTAATAGGAGAGGTGCTCCAACCTGGCCCTCCTCTTGACCTCCAATAGCTCTGCATCCTTCTTGTGCTTGGGGCACTGGGACTGAACACTGTATTGCAGGTGGAGACCCACAGGGGCAAAGTCCTTAGGGGAATCATAATAATCACACAGGATAGCCAAACCATATGATACGTGCTCTAGACTTCCCCTGCAAGCCGTGCTCTAAAACATGCCAGGCTTGTCTTGGTTCTTCCTCCTCCCTGGGCAATGACTCTGAGTTTTATTTTACTCAACTTCTCTCTTTTGGACTTGGACTCTCAGAGTCTTGCTTTGTCTGGCCGAATTTGCTCAGACTGTCACGCAGGCAGATATGAGCAGACTGGGACACTTGTTTACACTCCAGGACCACCATTATCACTCTAACCCAGCCATTTTTTGCCAGTCTTTTATCAAAAAGAATCATTATAAGGTGCTCCTAGCAAGCCTAAGGACTCCAGAGACCCACATTCAAATGTGTGAAACACCTTAATTTTAGTCCTTATTCTATAGGAACAACACTTTCATTAACACTGGTGCACTTGCTCTGTAACATGATGCACAAACAACAAAAGTACAATTATCAGAGCAGTGTGGTTAGGCTGGTATTTCACAGGTTTCGTAGTCAGAAAGACTATCATAGTAGAAAGAGACAATCAAAAATGAAATGCTCACCCATGTCCTAGGGATCTCCATCAAGAAACCCTTCCCTACTGGCAGTCAGCCCTAAATGGGGTCTAATGGAGAGGTGCAGCCAGGCTCCACCCCCTCGGTCACACAGCTGAATTGCCTTCACCTGTGCTGCATGGCTGACTCAGTGCTTGCCTCAGGTGATCAATCAGTGGTTCAGGCTGTGACTCAACAGTTCCCATACACATGATCAAAACGTTCAGACAGTCTATACCACCCAGAATCTCAACCACAGCACTCAAGCAAGTCCAGGCTCATTCCAAAGAGTTCCCACTGTAATGTCCATGAAGAACGTGGTTCTGGTTTCGCACAAAGTCAGTGAAAGGCTTGATGGTATCAGGGATGGGAGCCAGCATCAGTGCTTGTGGCTATGAAGCTTACTTTGGTAAGATAAAATGACATTAGCATAAATACATGTATATTTGCTCATACAAGATAACTCCCAGTAAAATCCTGCGAGTTGCAATTAAGCTGAAGCTTGCAGCCACAGGGCCTCTAATAACCTGGAGCAGAAAAGCGATGAGGAGCAGAACAGGTCCTCCAAAAGGCAGAAAGAACAGTAAATGCTCCTTCCAACACTGATTGTTTAAGAGACTGGTGGCAGCTGAAGTCAAGCCATTATTTTGGCTCAATAAAATCAATTGAAGTATTTCCATTTAACTGAACGGGCCAACTGGCTTAAAACAACTGAGATTGAGGCTGAGATGAACCTCCTGCAAATCTGCTTTCTCCCAAAAGCTGGAAAAGGAGCTCAGCAACCAGTGCCTGACCCCCTTGTCCTATTTCTGTCCTTTTCTTGTGGTGGTTTCTTATGCACCCTTGTCACGAGCCTCGGTGCAGAAAGTCCGCCAACAAATTTCTTTTGCTAAAGCAATATCCAGTCATCCTAAGCTTGGATAACTGTAGCCACTGTCTGTACTGCAGCCAGCATTAGACCTGTCCTGTGCTGATATATGTTGAGCCACAAAACATATTAATTTTGAGTAGTTTGTCAGAAACAGGGAAAATATGTAATATAGAGCATATTGCATATACTTGGTGTGCTGCACTTAAATCGTGCAGGTAGCCTGCTGGGTCTCTGAAGCCTTGGCTCTTCTTTGGTACACATGATCTCATTACAGCAACCTCACAGAGAATAAGCAGAAACGACTGACTGAAAAAGTAGCTCTATATTGATATATGCCACTTAAAGACAATTAAAAATACAACATCGTACGGATTTGTAAGGGCAAATCACTCTGCTTTTATACATCAGTCCCTTTGCCAGTACAAACACAATAATAATTCTGGGAAAATGTGCATCCAAAAGTCTAAATGAATAAACGAAGTACCTGAAAATCGATACGGTCGAACAAAATAGTCATTAGTATTTAAGTCTTGTTCAAACACTTGGCAGGGGACTGAGCCAACGTTTGCAGGCTCATATAACTGAAGTGATCAATCAAATTACAAACCGCAGGAGCAAATGTGAGGTAAACTGCATTTTATGCATCTGTGTCTCTAACTGTACATTAATTTTTTTCACCCATAATTCATCTTCACTCAGTATGACTTGTCACAGAGCTACTGTGGGCAATTTATCAACCACTTGAGCATGAATGTGGGGCACTGCTCTTCTCCTCCCATCTCCCTGTGCTGTCTGTGGTACAAGAGGCACTAAAATGGAGGGTGAAGTCTGAGTAAAGTGATCATTTTTTTAATAGAGAGGCCAGATGCAGGTTGGTCTCTACTTTTCTTTATTCCTTCACATTGGAAAGGGAGCCCACATGAAAATCTGTGTCTGGGGCTTGCACTGTGTAAAACATCTTGTGCCAACCTTTAGAAATCAAATGTGACTTTACCAAGATACAAGGAAAATATTTCCAAAAAGTTAGATGCCACAATGAATCACCTGCTTTTTGACATTGCCGTACAGCCACTATTGCTCACAGGTCTCTGTGCAATGCATGGGCATTGAAAACAACAGCTGATATCCCCAAAACCAAGTATACCTGTTTAGACACTTATACACATTAATATACTCTGACAGGCAATTAAGTCACCATGGTGCAACGAGAACATCCCTAAAGCCTTGCTAACTGCCTGTTTCCAGCCTGTGGCCAAAGGCCATGCAAGTTAGCTTAACCCTCTCCCATGGCAGACCGAGCCAAATCAAATAACCCCCATCTGCATGGGAAGCTTGGCCCTATGTATGTTGTCACAGAGATGAAGGATAACATGTTGTGCCATGGTAACACTATAGGGGCTATAGGTGAACTGCTGTTGAGCTTTGGGTTGGGAGCTATTTGACTGCTTAACAACAATAAAGTCTGGAGAAAATGAGATATTTGTATAGTCTTTCTCTCTGGCCCAGGCTGGCACAGGGGAGCCTGGCTCTGTTGTTCCCACTCTCCAGCAACCACTTTGCTGATACATCAAACAGTATGTCGTGTACCTTCTGCTCAAACAGACATTTTTCTGAAAGCGTCCACTTTCTACATGCTGTTGTTTTCCCCAAAAAACTCACATGGCCTGGGAACCTCTGCATGCTTGGTCCCAGCCTGAGGGGCCATCCACAACCTGCAGCTTTGAAAGAAGTTGAAAGGCAACTCACCTTGGGAGGAGGGTAGAGATGACAAAGGGGTTGTCCTGGATCCTGTTTGCACAGCTTCAAGGAATGGCAGACCACATCGGCATTCATTTCCTTGTCTATGCTGAAGGAAATGGTGTTAAAACAGAGACCAACACATTCTTCTAGGTGTTTGGAAGCAGGAGAAATTTCCATGGGAAGCTAAATCTCCCCAGCACTATCAGATAACCTCAGCATGCTTTGCCGTGTGGCCCATAGCCACTGCTCAGCGTGCTGTCAGACCCAAATGACTTTCTGTCATAGCATCCTACTCAGCATGTAGAATTGGATACCAGGATGATGAAAAAGCACTGCACTTGATGTGCAGCACCTGAATCAAATGTGTTATGCTGCGTTTTTTAATCAATCACAAGCCTGACAAAGACTTAAAGGTTAAAGTTAATACATATGCAATTTGGCACACATCTTCAGTCATTAACTCAGGAAAATAACCAGAAAGCCTTCAAAGATCCTTAACATTTAATCACCACGCACGAGTGCTAGGGCTGTTTCCTTCTTTTTTTGGGATGCACTTCTGGTCTGATGAAGAACTAAATTAAAATGTTGGATTATAGCACTTAGTCCTGTGAGCACTTTGCAGTCCCTTGGCTAGTTTTAAAAATAAAAATAAAAACTCGAGGGAGGAAAAAGGTGCAGCAACAGCTCTGTTAATTAAACTAAGAACTTTCAAAGGAAATAAAGTGGCCTACATGTTATTTCTTTAATCACCAACATTACCTAGCAGCCTTCCCCAGCAGCGCGTATCAAGGTCAGGGCTGGGAGCATGTAGGGGCTGACAATTAGAAAGCTTGATTAAAGGTAAAAGGGAAAGCCAGAGACAAGTATTAACATAGTGGGACTGTGTCATAGCTGCCTCACGCACACGAGTTATTCAAATTCCTCTCTCCACCAGAAGAGCTGAATTTCAAAAGGTAATTACATCAGGCGGGCCTGATCTGAGAGGCAAATGTCACATGGAAGTGGTTATGGTGGCAGGCTGTGTTTATTCATTCAGGGAGAGCTGTGCCAAATGCCAGGCTGGCATCCTGGCTTTTGGAATCATGTGATTTTTAGAATGGGAACCCTGAACTTCAGTCTGATAATACATCCATACTTCTGAAGCACGAACTAAAGCAAAGCTTGAGAAAACACAGTAGTACTCACAGTTCAGCTATGTGTGGTCCATACACTTCAGCAAGGACGTAACAGAAACCTTGCAGTTTTTCTAGAAAACAAACATTTTTTTAAGTGACGCAGATCAGTGAAACTGGTTTTACGACAGTCAGAACACAGCAGGAGCAACTTTAGCTGAATGCTGATTTATCTGAGAGAAACGCATGTAAGCCTGAGATTTCAGCATAGCATCAGAGAATGGGGAAACCTGAATTTCTAACCTAGGCTGGGACATGAAGCTCTCCTCTGGCTTTAGGCAAGTAGTTGGGAAAGACTGAGATACTGTCAGATATTGTATCATGTGAAAGCTGAAAGAAATCACGCACGCCACAGCATGTTCTGAGCTGCTCAAATGGGGGTAGGCTTGTGGGAGGAAAGAAAAGAAATAGATGGAGTGTAGCAAATGATGAAGGACTTCGTGCTTCTGCTTGGCCTGCCTCAGTGGCTCTGGGATTTTGTGCAAGGGAAGAGCTGCACTCACCCTGCAGAGGAGGTGCAGTGCTGGGCCTTGGAAGATGCCAAGAGGCAGAATTGCACCCACACAAATGGGCAGCTGCCAAATTCCCTGGGAGAATTCCTAGGAATTTGCTTTCTCTCCATGGCTGGGCTGCACTCACCCAGGAGAAACAGGGAATGGCCAAAAGGAAGCGTGATACTCCACCACCCTCCTGCTCTGTGTTGCAGGCAGCTCCTGTAGATGCAGTAGATGATTTTTCTCATGCCAGATATTTTACTTCAATCAAGCTATTAGCTTCATTTCTTTGCTTCCTCTGCCACATAATTCCTCTCTATCCGCTTTTCAGGAGATATGTGTGAGTTAAAAACTGGTCTTCTGGAATTAGATTGGATTCTTGTTCGCCTAGACGAAAGCATTGCAGACACCACTAGTGCTGCTTTCAGTCTGATGTCTGATTGAATCCTGGAGCAAGCCTTGAAGGAAGCTCCTGGCTCCCTGTCGCAGCCCACAGAGGGTGGTTGCTTCCCCAGCAGGGACTTCTGTGTGCTGGTTTGTTGGTGTGTGGGGCAAGTTGGGCTTCCAGCTGCCTGATGCAGGGATAAAAGCGGGTGGTGAGAGTTTCATATACATAAAATATTGGGCAAGTAGAGTCATCTTGGAAGATGCCAATGCCAAAACAGACCGAAACCATAGGCAGTGCCTGTAGGACACACCCCATGTTTCGGCACCCACAAACCTGCTGAACACACAGAAGAAGACAGTGCAGAGAAAAAGCTCTGGTGGGAAGAAGCTGTGCAAATGACAAAGGAGAGGAAAAGAGAGAGAGATTACAATGACAATTATGTGAGTGTTCAGGGCCAAGATAGGAACTTAAATCTAACCGAACACTTAAAATTTAGAGAAAAACGTAGAAGTGCTTGGCCAGAAGTGAGGATGCTTTTGCTCTGTTTCAGGCAAGAGGTCCCCTAACTGCCCTCTTCTTACATGATAAAAATCCCAGAGGGGTTTTCTCTATAGCTTCGTAGTCCTAGAAACACAAATGCTGGCTGAAACCCAGGAGATAAATATTTGCAGGAAAGATGGCATTAATCACCTTGCCATTTGCACTTGAGCTGAGGTGTTTGCACAGCAGTGGCTTACAGAAGCAGAGCTGACTCGGAGGCAATGCTGAGACAGACCATCTCAAAGCATGTTTAAGGAACTGGTCACCTCTTGTCTATCAGATAGACAGCCAGAATCAAGGCAAATATGCATTCTTGCTAACAGCATTTTGTACCTCACAAATACTGCCCACTTCCCCAGACCTGGCATTTCTGTCTACTCCAGAGCCGCCTTCATTCATAATGCTGCTGTGCTTTATTGTCTCTCAGATCACAGCCATGGCAAACATTTCCATACAAGAACATGACTGTGTTTTCTGCACAATCTATGGGACTGAATGGGGTTGACCGATACTGAATTTCTCTCTTCTTCTTTAAATATTTTTGGTTTTAAACAGTGCAAAACTTCATTGAAGGTCTGATACAACCCCTCTTATCGCAAGCAAAACAATAGGAGGCTTGTTAAAAAAAAAAAAAAAGTTCATTCTCTTTTTTGTCCTTAGGAAAAGCCTCATTGTCACTGATTTGTCACAGTCAGTCTTGCAATTGTAGGCATGTGTCAAATAATGAAACGGTTCCTTCAGCAGAAATGGCACTGCCTGATTTAATAGGCTGCTCCTCATGAGGATCCAAAGACTTCCTTTTGTTCCAGGGAGCAAGAGGAAGCTGCAGAGTGCTGCTGGGATGTGGGGTTCACCTCCTGGGGGAGGATAAATTGGGTTACACTGCAGCTCCTGCACAATCCCTAGGATTTTTCATTCCTTTCATGTTCAGGGTCAGTTTTTTTCTATTGGGTGTATCCATGCATCTCATAAAAGGTAACTGGATTATACAGATTTAACTAAAGGGATAATAGGATTTTATGTGTGTAAAGAATGGCAGCTGAAAAGAAATATCCTTGCACGACAGCTGAACAAGGTCCACGGAGTGAATCATGATCGTAGATCTAGCATGTCATATTTTAAAGAGGAAAATTGTATTTTAACAGCAGGATCCCCACTTCTAATTGCAACTTCATGGTGATGTGCCTATAATTTAAAACACCAAGGATACTACTTATGGAATAGAGATCAGATAAGCATCATTCTGTCAATGAATGAATTCCAGCAATTTCCTTCCTGCTCCATCCTATATCAGAAAATAATGTCTTGGAAAGGAAGGAATTAATATTCTGCATGCATCCTCCGTGATGCTGAGGTCTGTATAGTAATATGGTTCTCAGAGATACAATTCATGAAGGCCTATATAAAAGGCTGTATAATGAAAAATCGTAAAGCCACCCTTTTGCATTCATAAAGTTAAAACGATGTCACGAACGTGAGATCTAGCTACTTAAGCAGTTGTAGGAAGAGTCTGTGAAGCACAAAGCTATTTTGGTATTCAGACTGTTCTCTATTTAGAGACGTGTGCTTGGACAGCTAGGCTCCTTTGGGCTGATAAAATACAAGGCAGAAAAGGGGGAGTCCACATATGCTCGTATGGAATAGCTTTCACTTTTGAAATTTTTCTCATCGGTTACGTTTCAATAGCTTTTCCATTCGCATCACTGTCAACCTCAGATAATTTTAATGATTTTACAATAATGGCTTCCTATCCCTATTGAAAGCGTTTTCATCTCCTCGGTTGATATAAAGACTCGTATTGACAAGGAAGAGGAGTGTCTGGACATGCAGCAAAGCTGCTAACAAAGAGACAAAGTGGAGACAAAGAGCAGGGGAAAAGGGGCTCACAGGCTTCTGGGCTTCACACAACCCTGCTCACTGTAACTCTGGGATGAAATCCCAGCTCTGCTGCAGCTACATCTTTTCTGCAGATAGCACCTGGCTATCTTTCAGCCACATTAATTTGAGGTGCCGCTGAGATGTGGTGAGGGCTTTTTCAGTCTCAATGTGTGAATTTTTAATTAACACAGAAGTACGGCAGTACCAATGAAACATATGGCACATTATTTGATACTTACCAGGTATGTAGTTGCACAGTCTCTCCATGGCTGCCTTTACTGTACTGTTGTGCCACTGTGCAAGCTGTTCAATCACAGAGACCACAAGCACACATCCTTCAAACAAACAAATAAACAGAGTGAATGCAGTTATCTCAGTTATCTCTAGCATGTAGGGAAGCACCTCGAGCAATAGAAGAACTTTGGGCATTGCTGGGCATTTCATATCTTGGGATGCTCCGCAGTAGATGAGAGCCTGGGGGGAAATATTTGAAAATTTCTGTCTTTAGTCAAAGCCTGGGAGTTATCACAGAATGGATACCAACATCAGAGGAACTCTGTCCTCTTAGCACCCCTCATGTCTGTGCTGGATGTACCTCTTGTACCCTTTGGAGCTCACAGAGAGCTATCAAAACTTAAAAAAACCCACTTCCTCTCATCTACAAGAAATCTAAGTTCTCAGAATTTGCTCCAAGGCAGTCTAGAAATGAAGGTGAGCTGCAAGGTTTGGATGTGGATACAGATACATCTTTTTGCAGAGCTCAGGAACATTAATATTTAGGTTTCTAGACTGGCACGACTCCTCAAAGTGAGCTTTTAAATTCCTTCCAAGTACCCCTGCCTATGTGCTATTAAATCAAACTGACGTTTTTCTATAGAAAAAACTTTGATGCTCCTATGGATCAAATGACAAATAAAAGATGAAGCAATACCATTGGAACTTGCCGTAAGACCAAAATCTTTGAATTGTCTATTACTTTTTCTACACCAAATACAGTAATCCAGTGGAAATTACAGTGAACTTGCCACCTCTTCTGCAGGGATAACAGCCCACTTCTCCATACTTATTAAATAGAACTCTCACCCAAAGTCCTCTGCAGAGTGATTGATAAGGCTAAGAGCCATTAGCTCTAGTCATTCTAGAAGAAAAGATGAGTATATGGAGGCTGCTGGCACCAAGAGAAAACCCTGAAACAAATCATTCACTCTTCTCTCTCCACCTTCAAAACAGAAGCTAGACCTAAGAATTAACAGTTGATTAAAACACAGTGGCTCTCAAAAAACTTCTACTGTGTGAATGGAAAACAAGTCCTGCGCTGGTTCCAGAGATAGAAAACAGACCCTGGCTTATTTGTAGTGCTAACATGGGCATAGCCACAGTGTGCCAACTCCATCACTTAGTGCTGAGATGGTGGTCAGGTCCTTCAGACACGCTATAAGCACCTGTAAAAAGGACTGCCTCTTCTGGTGTTTACAAGGCCATATTATTAACATAGGCAAACAGCCTACATATAAACAAAATTACTCTTCCCCTGCCTTCTTACTATGTTTGTTTTATTCATGAGGCTGGAGACTCAGAAAAACTAAACAACCAGAACGGTGCCTTAACAACAAAACACACATACTCCTTCCATGTGCTCCTTCATTCTATTATCGAGGTCAAAATATCTGGCTGTCTAGAAGTCAGAAAGACAGAAAGGAGTCCAAGCAGAAAGACAAACATGGCAGTACTTGGTCTCCTGGTGGGGATGTAAAGAGGTTCATCTCTGCCTTGTCAGACACGGTTGTGCTGACTCACACTATCACAGCCAGGTCTTCTCTCCTCTGCTGGTGTGAGCACAGGGAAAGGAGCTGATGGATGCACAGCTGCATGGTGCTACAGACTGTGTTCACAATCCCCCAAATTATCCTGAGGATAAAAATACCCACAGTGCTTCACTTTCCTCTGGAATACAAAAAAAAAACAGACTCCACTGAAGATGTAAGAGAGTTTCTCTCTCATGTTTGTCAAAGCATCGCAGAGGGGAGGAAAAATAGCTATTTTTAATTCAGCTTTGCCAAACAGAAACAGAATTCTTAATCACAAAAACAATCATTCAGGTAACCCTACTGAGGGAGAGGTCTCTTGGTGATTAAATGGAAATTTTTCACGTTATTAAGCCAGTCAGACCCTTCTGTGCCTATTGAACCAGGCCCAAAGGGAGATTTGCTTTGCCTGAGAATTAACAGAGTCATCGCTGAGATGCTGAAGTACTTAACACAGTGCCTTGGGCTACTGGATGCTACATGAATATAAATAACAATAATAACAGCCTGGCAGCTCCGAAAAACCCACAGAGCTGAACCCCAGGGCGTTTGCTCTCATAAACCAGCCTTCACTGTCACACAGAGGGTGCTATTACCCTCTCTGTGTTGCAGACACCCACCGGCCCCACCGTGATTATTTGGATGCTCTCCCAAATGCACTTGCTCCAGATGAAACACAGATCTTGTCAAGACAATTAGACAGAGAAAGACATGACTGATTTTCAGGGGGACAAGTAGAGGTGCACTCAGCCTCAGTGCTGGTTTGGGGATAAAAACGTGTTCCCTCCAGTTAGTAATTTGTTCTCTAGGATAATCTGATTCTTGTGTTGGGCTATAGGTACAGTCACATTAGAAGTTAACCCTTGCTTCTGCTAGAAATCTCTATTTTTCATCATGTAGATCAACTTCCTTTTGGATTCAGTGGCAGGAAAATAATTGATGGTTAGCTGCAGCACAAGAAGCCACCATCGCCCCCTCCCACGCCTCCCCCCAAAAAAAAGAATCAACAAAAATATCCCTGAACAATATGACAATCATCAGAAATGCTCACAAGTTGTCTTAGCTCGAACAGGTCTGAATCCTGTTGGCTAAAAATGAAAAATAGCTAAAAAGGACAGCTGTGGGAATCTCACTGCTGTAATTATCTGTGATCACTTCTGAGTAAGATGATAAACTTTTTAATACTCTGAAATCAGTAGAAAAAACACTTCCAGACTTGGACAGACTTTAGCAATGGCTGCTTGCTTTTAATTAAGCAGATATTTACGTGTGATTTATTTCTCATCATGAGCAGGGCACATATAAGGCAATCTAGATAAGCTTCCAAATTAAAGGTTAAAAAAAGCTCTGCGTTTTTTTTTCGTGATTGCATGTGATTTGCTTTAGAAACAAGTTTCAAGAAATTGGCTTTGCTGTTGCACTGTAATAATAGGTTTCAATACCTTGTCAGACTGAGGAAGAAATTCATTGGTGGTATGATGCCTACCAGCCATTAGAAACTAGACTCTGGAATTAATAAAAATGCTTGTCTCTTTTAGTGATATTTTGTCCTATCTGCTATTAATTTCTGAAGAGATAAGAGAAAACCATAACCATTTTGCTCAGAAGCAGTAATCTGGAAACCCACGTCAGGAAGTGCTTGTCCCTATGTATTTGAGAGTAGCATGTAATAATAAAGTGACATTTCCAATAGGCTTGGGAGAAAATCATACCCCAATAATAAAGTCAGAGCTAGAGATTCATTTCCTTGCCCTGGAGCCCCTGGCAGTTTGTGCAGACTATTTAACTTAATCCACTTCTGCTGCACATGTTTGAAAGGATCTATACTTAGAATGATACCTGTGGATGTAAAGGAGTGCCTGGACACTGAGAGTTGCCTCTCTACATTTCAGATTTGTAGATATTCTTGTCCAGTTAAATGGGATTTCTGACACCTGGAGCGTCCTTCTTTGCCACTTTTTGTTAATGTTGATGGGTGCTGGGGCCCTTTCTTGTCCCTCCAGCCATATCGCCATTCCACATCACAAATTAGCTGTACCACAAGGAAGAACTAAGCCAAGGAAAGTGGCCTGGAGCACAAATAGCTCACCACAAAACCTACTTTTCAAACTGTGGTTGCCTGCCCTATTCTCCACAGTTCAACACAGAACAAGACATTCCTGTTTGAAAATAAGAGTGTTTATATCGGGAGCAAGCAAAAAATCAGCACGTCTACTGTTTTCTCCCCTGAGATGGGGGCCAAAACTGCACAAGGCACAGGCAGACCATGGGTATGCAATATTTCAATACAGGAAAGATTTGTTTTTCACTATATGTACCTTTTCTAATACCTCACAGTGTCTGTTTTGCCTTCTGCTTCTGAACGCTGAGATGATGCCTTCAAAGAAAAACCCACTGTAATCTCAACATTTTCTTCCAGCATGGAAATTGTGAGCTCAACAGGTGCAGCTGCATAAGGACTGCTTTTCCTGGCATCTGAAGAATTTGTTGCTTTGAGAAAGGGATCTGAGTATACAAGTCTTTAAATTCAGTCTGTGTTTCTTATGCCATTTAAAGCTGGCATTCTTGTATTTCACAGAGATAGCGGTGTGATGGAATGTAATTATATTCAAATATATTGGCATGTACAAGAACTTCTTTCCCCTAAATTTTGTCAAGTTCATGAAATATCCCGGAAATGTTAAATGAACCTGTCACTGGGCATAAAATTACATGTAGAATACTGGCTAACAAATCTTTTAAATATTAATGTCAATGTTTAAGTGTAATATCAGCATTGTTTTGCACATGCAGTTCATGCTGCAGCAGTGAGATATTTCAGGCCCGAGCTTCAGATCTCTGTTCATTTGTTACTACTTCCTTAAGACACCCTATGAGGTGTCTGTTATGGTTCTATACAGTTCTGCATGTGCTGGTACAAAAAATTCAATTTCCATCTGTGGAAGACTTCGGTATCCATACCTGCCAGCCAAATGTGTCCCTGGTGTTTCTGTCATTACACTTTAAAGAACCCTGTTTAACAAGATCTATAACCCCAGGCATTTGCAATGGAAATGCTTTTTACACTAATTAGTAGGAAAAGTGTGTATGTATACACCATTAACGTACTTTTTCATTTCCAAATCAAGAAAAGGTATTAAAAATTTACTGAAGCAAGGATAGTGGCAGAGGGGCTTTTGCTATCTCTTGACACTGGGACTGTTTCCTTGTCTAACAAACCATAAGCTCATTAAGCCACAAGCATAGTCTCACCCTGATTGCAAAGAATTGTCCATTTCGAGATTATGGATGCACAGAACTTGTTTTAGGTCTACAGTTCCTAAAAGCATTTAAAATGATTGCCTGCAATGTGAGCAGGTTGTTTTGAAGTTCTGTAGAGGGCGAACGTGTGAACAGGAGTGGCATTCAGCAACTGGTCAGACAATCAATACTAATAAATAAGGCTATCAAAGACAAATGAGAGTAAGCTTAAAAGCTTGGTGATGTAAAACACACAAGACTGCCCATGCCTACATATGCATATGCACATA